TAGAGAAGTGAAAATATAAACAACTTATTTCCTACCAAGTCTTTTTTCCTGAACTCCAAGAACAGTGTCACTCTGGGAACTTTATATGGACAATAAAGCAATCACATCTTTATTTAGAAATTCTATACACGACGGCTATAGAAGAAGACTGATTTATATTAATCTTATATTCTACACTTTTAATATTTTACTTTATGGAGACTATAAGCGTGTATCACAGTAAGCAATGCATTATGAACCAAAGCCCAAGAAATCTGAGCGTGATCTTTCAGAAGAGAATCAAAAGCTGATAAAGCTGAGTCCAACCAGACACAACTAAGAAACAAATGCAAATATCACAGTAGGGACGATAATAGCCTCCATCTTTCCAGGTCTCCAAAGAGGATAAAGAATTACCACCACATGCATTACCTTTATTGTCAGGATTATACCTAGTACCTGGTGAAATAAAGTTATAATACATAGATTTAGATTTATAATACTAAGAAATCCTGACGAAACTCAACTAGAGTGCTGATATAAACAAAAAATAAATAAATAACTTGAATAGATGTTTACCACCTAGGACTCAAAAGATCAATTTAAAACCCTTTGAAAAACACAAAAATAAATATACCTTGAGGCATACTGTTGGGGGGGGGCTCTATTATTTGAAAATGTATTAATGAATTGCTTCCTGTTGTTTTATACAATTCTTAGAGAAAGTTCAAATTAAGTCCCTAAAAGATGTTTTAATTACGAGAAGCGATATTTTGAAGCTTGTATAAGGCCTCACACTTGTTTGGAAACAAATGACTTCTCAAGATGTAGAAGTATTACTATCAATCACCAACAAGTTAATTCTACATAATAAGGCGGGTTTGGATGCAAACTGATCCATTGTGGAAAGCTGTATCTAAAATTGATTACAACAGCACTCAAAATGAACGCAGCCCTCCAAACCATTTCTTTGCTCAGAAACATTAATCTCAATTAGAAGGAGAGCTTCATAATGGTAATGCTTGGTATAAAAAAGTACGAAATAAATCAGTTTTTATAAGACACAGCAATTAATCAGTTTTGAAACTTGAAAGTTTTTTTTTTTTTTAGAACAAAATTTCCAGCAGGACATTTATGGCTGCCAATATCTCCAAAGTCAGATTTTAAATGTGTTCCAGAAGCTTACATGATATAATTTTTTAAGACTGAGTTACTGAAACTTTTGAGTAGCACCGGGTTCTTGTGCGTTCAGTAGACTTCTTTATTCTGAGTGCACGTTAGATTCTTCTCTGGACCATCGTGCTACTTATTCCACTTTATAACACAAATAAAAACACTGGCTGTAAGTGCAAATCTAAAGGAATGGACAATTTGTTATGCATCAGAGGTAAAGGCTGATAGTGAATTATTATATATATATATATATTTTGCTGATATTTCCATTATAAATAAAGTATATCCTGAAAGTCAAAATGGATATTTCACCAGCAAATAAAACACCAGGTGGTTAAGCAACATGTAACTGAACACGCCTAACAGGTTTCTACAGCACATGCCCAAGGAAAGGACAGACAATTCATGGATGCTAGCGAATGCACCGATTCACGTATTTTTAATACCCAGATGATATTCCTCAGCCCCCCCCAGAAATTGCAATTTTTAAAAGGTGAAATAAAGTTTCCTAGGAAGGAGATAAAGTATTTATTTGTTGCAATAGTCAATATTGATACACCAAGTTATTTCTATGGTGCTTTTATTTCCAACTGTAACCAGTTTGCATTCTTATCTGCCAGTAACACGACGGGATAAACTTCAGCATTCCCAGACAGACTTTCACAGCTACTGCAAAAACATCCGTTTTTATACATCAAGCTCAAAGTTGATCAACTATTTCTGATAGGTTATTCTATTCACAACACTAGCTATCCCCTTCTGCAGGGCTTCTTATTTGTTTAACTCTTTACAAAAGGAATAATTCCTCTTTGCTCCCAGAAGCAAAGCTAAGAAAGACTAGCTTGAACTTGCTAACTGGATTATTATTGTTAGCTAGGTTTTCTTTCCAAATAAATTTAAAACTTTTCAGTCTGTTTTGTTGCTGTCTTCTATTCAAAGATAAGCGTCCTTATCTTTCTTTGTCTTCACCCTAATACAGCAGGTTCCCTTTTCTCACTAAAAGACTGATGACACGCCTACAAGATTATAGGAAGCAAAGCCTCTGTGATTTACCTAAAACACTTCTTTCTGGAAAATAAACACAGTCATGCCAAGTGATTCAATTTGGAAAAATAACTAGCCACAAGTCTACTATAAATCTATGTTTCCTTTGAAATAATCAAGCAGTCCTCATTAAGGTTGCGATTCTCTGTCCACAGTTTGCTAATATTAATGGAATTGGCACAGGATACTAACATGTTTTCTAAATAGATAATCATTAGTTGTTGGAAAATAGGCACATTGTTCATAAAAATTGTGTACTAGACATTCAAATGTCTTACTCACAAGAATAACTTTTTCTCATAACATACAATCCTTATAAATTACCTAAAATAAAAGATATTTTCTACCAGGAACAAATAGCTCCTTTGAGTAAGAGGAATATTAAAATTCATGTCAGAAAAAAGCCATGATTGTTCAGGAAAATGCAACAGGAAGAGAGATACACACAATCCTGTAATACACAATAGAATAACTAAACTCATTATAAAACCCTATCTTTGAAGAATTTTGGAATAATTTGTGAATGCCATGACATTTTAAAGTGGGATTAGCAAGTCTTATTACTGAACTAACCTCTCACTCTTAGAGCAAGAATTAAATATTTGCTCTGCATTACAATCACAAATCGAAAGTTTCAAGGCTCTTACAAGGATTTCATACATTAAGAAATACAAGCTGGAAGTTTTTGATAATTAAGACTGTGTTAAGAAATGCACAAAATAAGACTTTATGAAATCTTTGGCTCCAAAGGAAACCTTAACATCTGTAATAAATTTTAATAATAATGACTCAACTCTAAACTCTTTTGCTAACATACTAGCAGGCTACAATGCTTCTCCAGGTAGGCAAATGGGAAGGGGGTCGGGGAGGGGGGGCTATGTATCACATTTTAAGCAAATTCACTAAAGGGATGAAATTACCAAGTTCTGCTCAGTGGCAATAACGCGTTTCAGGGTACTCTTCCAAGCTTTCCAAGGATGCCAGCCCTGTTGGATTTTTTTTTTTTTTCCTTTTGACAGAAGGAAAAGGTAATGCCTGAACATATTTCTTTTTCTAGTGAAAAGACCACCCAGTGGATTCTGCCAGAGCCTACAAATGTTTGACAAATACATTGTCAGAAGATAAGCAGTAGAGTATCAGGGAGAGGCAGCCAGCCCAGGGGATCCAGGGGACCCCAGCCATAGGGACTCCGAGCGAAGAGCCCCTGGACAGTTCTGCCCTTCACTTCCATGGAATTTACCTCAGACTACCTGGCAACTTTTCCCCGGCTTTAAATGGTAATGACTTCCGAAAATAAAAGTCCTTGCTGTCCCGCACAGAATTACGTGGCATCCTTTCTCCACAATGAGAACTAGGAGCAGGTTACAGTTCTCACCATCTTAACCGCGAGGCAGTGGCGAAGAACCCACGCGCCTGAGAAGGCGAGCAGCGGAGTCCAGACGGAACCTACCTCCATCCAAATCTGGGCAGCGCTCTCTAACCAGTTGTAAAACACGATCCAGACTTAGATGGAGTGCAGACTCGTAAATCTGTAATCTTGCACTTGCCCCAGCCGGGGACTTGCTTCTTTCCAGCCCCGTTCGGAGTTTCCAGTTTAAGTTTCAGATCCACCACTCCCTACACGCCCCCAAGCCCGGGCTTCCTTCCCTCCTTTCCAACTTGGCTCCGCGGAGCCAGAGAAACCTCCTTCCCACTTCCCCGGAAAGTGGCGACAACCCAGGGCTTCCCGCCCGCTGGAAGCCCCGCAGGATCTTGGCAGACACCTCCTCGAGGACGCGGCGCCCCCCCCGACCCCCCCAGC